TATCATATGCGCACCCCCCTTTCTAAAGAGGGTCGCAGTAAACTGCACACAGAATGCCCTAGGCCTTCGGCCCCTGGCTCAGCCTGTAAGACCCCTGAGGTGGACCCTTAAATCACCTTATATTCCCTATAAAGTCAGGCTGGAAACCCAAGAAGGGCTGCGACAACATTTAGATGATTCGGTAGGTGTTCGGTTTTGGATTTGTTTTTTCCTTGTAGATGTTTTGGTTATTTCTATGGGTTTTTCATGATATGGTTATTTATTAATTATGTATTCTGTTTTATAAGTTTGAATACCTGGGCTGGATATTAACAGAATAGTTTTTATGAGTATTCCGGTTTGGAGTTTGGAAATTACCATATTTTTTTTCTGTCCCCCTTTTCGCTCCGATCTGGTTTCCTGTTGGTTCCGGTGGCTGAGTTCAGTTTGTGGTTACTGGTCTTTGGTTTTCACAAGAAAGAGGGGGATCTTGGGAGGCACGAGCCTTTTATAGTCACTTCATCTATTATGTAAATGGTTTCTTGTGTTACTATACAGTTTTTTCTCATTTTGAGATATTTATATTCCTCTCTATCTTTGCTGCTGAGGGAATTAAAGAAAGAGTTATTCATAATACTCGCCGTGTCTTTAATAAAATCATGACTTTACATCATGTTAATAGTAAAATCTGGGAATTGTGTGCTAGTTTGTATGTGTGTCCATGTGTGTGTGTGTTAGAGTGTGTTACGCCACCCCCAAGCATAAAAGGGTTAAACCGCCGTTTAGTAGATCGCCCCCTTCCAGAGATACAGGCACAGCTACTGCAGAACACCAAACTCCCTAACTGAATACAAGGGAATGCTCCAAACTCCCGAACTGCATATAAAATAGCACTCCAAACTCCCGAACTGGAACCTCCCAAATAGCTGCTAGCAGACGAACAGGAAAAGCACCCAAGCGGCTTACACTCCTGGCAATCAGTCTCTAACAGCATACAGTTAATCCCCCCCAAGAACGAGACAAGGCTCCGTGTTGGGGGTTAAGCAGTGGTCTGGTTTATTAAGGGCTACCTGCCCGGTATTTATGCAGGTCTCCCACCTGGTGGACAGTCCCCTAGGGGACCAGATGGAAGACTGTAACACAGACAGACATGAATCACATTCAGACACACAGAAGTAAAACATCCCCACAATGCATCCTAATTCCCTTCCCTCTATCCTGGAGATAATTGGGAAGTAATCCAATTATCTCCCAGGACAGAGGCAAATCGCCATTATACACGTGGGGACACAGAGACAATAAAATACATTAAAACATATAATATTACATTTACTACACCAACCCCATACATGTCACATATCCCCAGATAGCTTAGATCTGAGCGCACATAACCACCGAATAGCGCTCAGATCACACACATAATTACACGAATAGGCTCCATGGCATAGCTATCTAGGTTAAAACATTCACTTAAGTAAAGTCCCGATCAATCCAACGTTCGTTTAAGCAACCGAAATAGAAGCAGGGAAGGCTGGAGGCTCAGCGGTGCCTGCACGTAAAAGTATCCGCTTTTAGTGCACTGATTCTGGGCTGAGCACTGCTGGCCGTCCCGGAAGCTCCATAACACCGCCACTGGGTGGCGGCTATGTGTAACCGCGACCACCCAATTGACGGCACACGCTAGCTTCCCGGTGGTCGCGCCTTCATGCGGCTTTCGGCAGTTTAACAGGGGAACACATAGGGACTGTACAGGCAGGGAAATAAACCGAACAACAGACGAATGGAGGGAAAATAAATGTAATCCATATACAGACAGTTCTGTTACAGAGTGTGTGTTGTGCCTGCATGTTAGAATGTCTATTTGTGGGAGAATATTAATGAGTATATATGTATGTGTGTTTATGTGTACATGAATGCAAGTATTTGTATGTATATGAGACGATGTCTATAGTAAGGTTGGAAGGTTGGGGTGTGTGGCGATTATGTATGTGTGCACGTGGCTAGTTATGTATATGTGTATTTGTGTGTGACTAATTACACATACAGTAATGGGCAGCTCTCTATGTATGCCTAATTACCAGATTATAATCAGTTATGTATTTGTAGCTAATTATGTATGTAAGAGCTAGTGGTTATAGCAGTATAGCGGTTCCCTACAATCACGAGATGAGGCTGCATGTTGAGGGTTAAGTGTTTAATAGTAGCCACACTGGCCTTTTATGCAATTCCCCATGCAAGGGGCACTCCCATATGGACCTAGTGGGGAACTACAATATAAACTTGAGACCAATAACAATAGTGTGATAAGGTATGACACTCCCACACATAGCATACAATCCCTCCCCTCTACCTCTGCCTGGGAGATAATTGAGTCAATTACTGTATCAACTCAATTATCTCCAGGCAGAAAAAACACATATTTTTACAAAACCCCCAAAGTACCCCAAAACACATAATATCCCCACAAATATGGAATATGGAAGTCACATGCCCAAAACAGTTCCAGAGAATTAGGCTGTGCGGTCGGTCTACTTCGGGAATTCAAAGTAAAATGCAAAATACAGAACGTACAGCTTTGGGAGAAGTCTTAGGTTATGTCTCTCGTTCGGGAGGTTATTCTTATCGAACGCCATTCGAATAGCCGAACATCCATGGAAGGTAAATATTTAGCAGTGTTCATGCCGTTGCGTGTCCGATTTGAGTTCCATGAACTTGACGACCAAACACCACTCGTACTCGCGACTTAAGATGGCTGCTGCCACACGTTCGAATGCAGCTTCAAATGGCTTTGAGAGTTCGGGAGTTCGAAGTGCCGCTTCGAACCACTTCGGGAGTTCGAAGTGTTACTGTTCAAGTCCAAAAGGCACAAACAGTGTCTTTAACCACACTTTATTCCAGGGGCCATGTTCATAGGGCAAATCTGTTCGCATACCGATCCAGGCAAAGCAAAATTAAACTCCAGGAACAGGGCATCTGTTACAATACCATTTTTATTTTTCCATACCACAATCACTAAATACTCCTTAACATAACATAAGAGTTCACACTTTTTAGACCAAGGGTGCCCAAAAGGTAGAACCCCAAATGTTGTAGGACTACAACTGCCATGATGCTTTGCATGCCTTTAGAATGTCTTTAGAATTACAAAGCATTGTGGACACTGTAGTTTTAAAACATTTGGGGATCTACCTTTTTGGCACCCCTGTTTTAGACCATTTTGAATAGCAAAAATACAGGTCATTTTTCTAATCACTTTGATAAATGTCCCCCTTTGACCCACTTTCCTGATGTGACATCTTTATAACTTGCTTAAATGCGTTATACAAACATCAATGAGGAGTTCCTGGTTACTGCCTCTTTTAACCCGATTCACTCTATGTAAATAAATCCCTCTATTCAGATGCAGCTGGCTCATTGCAACACTGTAATGTTGAGGAATTAAAGCAAGCCACCACACAACCACCAAAAAAATATCTATCTATCTACCTCTATCTATCCATTATCTATATATCTATCTGTTTCTATCTCTATCTATCCATTATCTATCTATCTATCTATCTATTTATATATCTATCTATCCATTGTCTATCTATCTATCTATTTATTTCTCTATCTATCTATCTATTCTATCTATCTATCTATCAATCTATCTATCTATCTATATCTATTTCTATCTATCTATTTTTATCTATCTATCTATCTATCTATCTATCTATCTATTTATTTCTATCTATCTATTTATCTATCTATTTCTATCTCTATCTATCTATCTATTTATCTATCTCTATCTTTATCTATCTATTTCTATCTATCTATCTATTTCTATCTATTTCTTTCTATCTATTTATCTATCTATCTATCTATCGTCTGTCTCTATTGTGGATATATGGGTACATTATTTATATGAATGAGAATCTGACTCTCTGTGTTTTTGGTATCTTCCTCACGAAGCAGGTGTTACTATACAATATATATTAATACATTGACATGTGTATATTGATAAATATCTCTATGTGAATACTGTACCTATTAATGGATTATATGAGTAAATGCAAGCAAATTGTATATTATTATATTATTAGAGGAGTACATTGCTAACTCTCTCCATGTACATATTGATAGATGGATATGTACATATTGTTATGTCTGTGTGAATTCATATTGATAGATGGATATGTGCATATTATGTCTGTGTGAATTCATATTGATAGATGGAAATGTACATATTGTTATCGCTGTGTGAATTCTGTACATATTGATACATGGGTATATGTAGATTTATTCAACAAAGTGAATTAACTCTTTACATATTTAAACATGGGTATCGCTATGAGTATCTAGACTGCAAATGTTAAACAAAAATACCAGTAATGAAGATATATCTGACATGTTGCCCTAAAAATTGCAATTTCTTAGTGAATCCCCTACAATCAAATGATTAATCAATAATCCTGTACTCATTGTGTATGTACAATGTATTATGTATGAATAATCATGTACTCATTGTGTATGTACAATGTATTATGTATGGATAATCCTGTGTGAATGTGTCATGTGACTAATGGATGGTATATGGTTGGTGTACAATGTTTGTGTACATATATATGAAAAGGTAGTCACACTATGCATACATTTGTAGAATACTATGTTTGCATGTGTCTTTCTTTGTATCGTTAATTTATGTACGCGTGTGTGTGTGTGTGTGTGTGTGTGTCTCTCAATAACGGTTTTGGGGCCCTGTATATATATAGTTGAGCTTTGTATATACGCTGTGAATGTTTCTATACTATTAGTTTATGATTAACAGACTATGATTTATTTTATTTTTTTTACATACCCAATGTAGAAGCTGTAGTTTGCTTTATAAGACTCTGCTGATTAATTTTCAATATAAATCTAACCCAGCAGTAAAAACACATTTGCTAAGCCCCTAGTGTATTATTAGTGAGTACTCTTTCGTTTGGTATGTATTAACCAGCGAGATCACTGCATGTGGATATAGAAATTAAAACACAACTCAATTTGTAACGTAAAACATTTATTTTATAAAATATATATTTGTATCAAAATTCACAAAATGTGCCACCAAAAACAAAACAGAATTTATATACAGAAAACAAAGAAAAGGGAAAATATATTGCACATAGCCCTGTCCTTTAACCCCTTTTGTTCCTAGAACTGTGAGGTAAAGTATCAATTAATTGCTGCAGATTCGGCAACTAGAAGGTTAAATTAATTAATGCAATTCGCATACTGTCTAAAAACCCTTTGGGTTTAGCAGGGTTCACATATTTTACCCTAGATTATTTAATCCCTGTCAGGATTAACACATTGGTCGCAATATATTGCTTACAATCCCACTGAACACGTAATATCCAAATGGGATCATCGCCCCAGCACCGAAATAGTTAACATTAAAGGCATAGTTTAGGAAAAGCACGTTGGATTGCTTGTAATGGCTATTAATGGCTCTATTGTTCCTGGGCTCATCGGCGACAATGAATACTTTGATTTAACTGTTTAGGTGCTGTTCACTCTACCTATAAGATACAATGTAACATATTTATAAAACATGCTTGGTAGACAAGGAGCACTGTGCATTCATGTCAATCTCTGGCTACATAGTAACAGTCAGGGTGCTGGGGAGGATAATAAGTCCATTCTGATAACTGATCACCAGGGTCTCCAGATGTTGTGGCTGGTGGGTTGTGGTGGGATCGGGATCTGGACCTGTCTCTGGTTTGGTGGCTGGTGAAGAAGGGATGGGGGGTAGAGCTCAGCTGTCCTGGGACTGAGATGTAACACGATTCTGGGGCTGCTGTGCTTGGGACTGGGCGACTTGTTGCAGTCTCTGCAGCACAGATCTGGACTCCTTTGTAGGTGATCCAGGAGCCGGCTGCTGGTCTCTGCATTCAATACGCTGGATTTACTAAGGATATCGCCCAGGCGATCTATGCAGGCTCGATATCCTTCTTTGTATCGTTCTGCAGATTCTGGAAAATAAGAACAAGAGGTTAAATGACACATCTAAATAAGTAGCAGAGTATCAAAGCAAGGCAGACAGGGGAGAGTGGGGTTAAACCAAGGCTTTATAGACTATGAATTCTGTGCAATATTTCTAAAAGGTGAGCAATTAACAGAGGGAGAGGGATTTTAACAGTCTGGGTGCCAAGGCATGAATAAATCTACTTACTTTGTGCCTGTGCTGGGTGGATATCCTTCAGAAATCTCACAGTCATTTCCAATATATCAGCCTTCTCCAACTTGGAGTATTTGGAATTCTGAAAAAATTAAAGACAATGCACATGGTTAATAAAATATTCGAATTGTCAGCCTTTTTCTCAACGAATCATATTTACACTGATACACCCATGGAAACTAAATTAACACCCAATACATGTCAATCAAGAATGTCATATATTTTATTTTAACAGCCCATCATGTCTTCAATCTCACTAAATCAGTGCATTTCAAACTATTCTAAATGAAGAATACAAAATAAAATATATATTTTTTTAACTGAACTATCCAATCTATTAGCTTTTATATTGCTATAACACTTCGTTAAGCACGATAATGTAATTAATTATTGTATACATCTATAACAATATTTCCTCCAAATCCTCTTCTATAGCAGGGTTTATATATCATATTATTTAATAATATAACGATTAAATAAGACACTTACATCTTTTCCAATTAAAGGCAGGATCAGAGTTTTCAGTTGGTTGAGACTTTCGTTAATTCTAGCTCTCCTCCGTTTCTCCATGAGAGGTTTAAGAGTCTGAAAAATAAAGAAGAATTCTTGTTAATATCCCATGATTTTAGATTGGTATATCTCATGCACACTAATGGCACACAATGGAAAGAGATCCTTAGTATAGGTCTGAGTTTACCTTTCTCATCTCACTGGAATCTCTGTTCTTCTTGTCTGGTTTGGTCTGGAAGCTCTGAAGAGAGTCACTCATTGTAATGTGGGGAGCCATGGTTGAGATACAGAGATCCTGATTCCACAGGCAGTAAGAGGTAGTGTGGGATCTCAGCCTCTGTGCTTCTATTTATATGGAATCTTCGAGCTCAAGCCCCGCCCATTGGAAGCATTGTGGAACTTGTAGAAGCCCCAAGGGAGTCATGTGTCTCCTCCCACAAGCCATCTGCTCAGGGCAGGTAACTGTGATTCTCACTTGTATGCAAAACTACTGTCCCAATCACTTTATCCCTAAGCTAATGCCAACTACCCAAGCTCTGACATCACCAAACATTGTCCATAATTATTATTTTTAATGAGACAAAGGAAATGCAAACTCCTGAAATATATACATTGTATGAATTGTACAACGTATAATGTCGTACATAGTGAATTTATACTGGAAAATGAATTTATCAATTGTATTATTGAAATAGATGTTTTGTTTTCGCTTTGATTTTTTAATATTTATGTTTAATAAAACATTATTACTCAGTTTTATAAACAAATTCCTGTCTGCAAGCAAAATATATTTTTCCCACATACACAATTCATGGATATCTGTATCCATCCTTTTTATGTCCTTTTTCATATAGTATTCATTATTTAATGTGGTTATAATGGTTATGTATTTATTTGTGTATACAACATTTGTATATAGTCGTGTTTTTGGTATTTGTGTATAGATAGATAGATAGAAAGAAAGAAAGAAAGAAAGAAAGGCAGACAGACAGACAGACAGACAGAGAGACTAAAATATACATGCACACATATATTTGATTTGTGAAAATTAGGCATCCAAAGTACCAGGGTAAATCTTATAGTAAATTGCTTATACATGGGAATTTATTACCCTAATAGGAACATATAGAATTAAAGTAAGGTTATATAGGAGACCTTTAATATACATTCTACAGGTCAGTGATTTTAACATTCAAAGAGAACAATTTGAAAAATATACAGAAGTCCAATGAATAATCTAATTGTGAGCTTTTAAGTGTGGAGCATAAAATAACACCCCAGTTTGGATGCATATATTAAATAAATAAATAAAGTACAATATGCAATATTTTATTTAATCAGTGCTTAACTTTCAAGCAGACATGAGGTTAACAAAGAAGTTCTTAAAAAAAAAAAAATACAAAACAACATCTTGTCAAACATAAAGCTGTAACCCAGACAAAGCTCTAATCCCCAAAGATGCAAAATAAGTATAAATCATAAAGTGAACAGATGTGGTGTGCTTCCCTTTAATATATGCAAATGGAGGTTCCTATATTGTGTTGATGATAACCTGTATAGGGCGTCTAGCAGCACCTGTCCTGTGCTGTCCTAGCTACTTGTAGGCGTGGCCTGATCCCTGGCTTCTGATTGGACAATCCCTCTGTATGCTGATTTAAAACCCCTTCTGGCTTCTTTCACCAGCCAACCCTCATTGTGTATTATATGTTCCTATTTTCAGTTGGGATTTGAATATTGTAACAAATATTAGCGTGGGTCCCCCATCTGGAAACATATGACACTTTTTTTTTTCCAGCCTCACAGTAACCTTTACACACCCCATTTGGGTAACAAAGTAGCATCTGGGATCCTGTGTTCTGTTGCAGAGGTATCTGATGTGGGATTCTATATGCCAGCCTTTGTTTAAGTGAGTAGGGGAATACCAGGCCTATGACATCCACAGATCAGCCTGGCTTGGCTTGTAATTATATGGACCCCAAAATAATAATTATTAAATGTAAATCTGACAAACAGCATCTGCATCCCCAGCTCCACTTATCCCATGATGCTACGAGTAATTGCTAAATGCAATCCCCCAAACCACTTACTGTTTTAGGGGACCTTGCTGCAATAGTAATATCTGGAACAAGTAAATCTGTGAGGTTGTTGGTTTTGATTATTGTTTAAGGAAACCTTTACATTTGTTTATTACACATACTAGAAGTATTTAGTTTAAGCAATCTGTCAGACCCATGGATCATATATAATATTTCTATGAAGGTTGGCAAAGCTATAACGCTGTTTAAAAGTTATTCACTTGTTTTCACAAGATCTATTTAAATACATATGTAGAAAAAAATATATAATATAGTATATTTTATAAATAATTCGATTCATGGCTGCTATTTCTATCAATGTGTATTGTTATAGACTAACCAGTCAAATATGTGGATGATATACGGAAATTCTACTTTTAAATGTGTTTGGAAGATATTGGCATACCATTTTGGTGTATTTAAAAATAAGCATAACAAGCAACACACACACACACACACAATGCTATTCTATTTCATTTGGGGTTGATGTTTAGGAAAATGCACCTGTGGTTTTCTGGTAATGAGAAATGAGATCTTAAAAACAAAACACACCAACTCTACTTCACAATATGCAAAGATGGAAACAATTTTACTGATTTGTAAAACGCATTTTTGATTAATACAGATTGAAATGATAAATCAAATTTATACCAAGTCACTGTGCCTGTTCCAAATGACAGACAGACAAACAGACAGATAGACAGACAGATAGACAGATATATATATAGATAGATAGATAGATAGATAGATAGATAAAATACAGAATATATTTTGAACACTATTTCTATTAGTTTTATGATAGATAAAGCTTTATTGGTGGTTATTTCATGTTATTAATGGTCAGCCTGGGTCTGATCAAGGAGTGAGCTGTCTGCACGCGTCTGCCACACTCTCCCCCCTCCCTCCCCCACTCATTATACGCCCCCCTCTCTGCAGACTTCTCATCAGCACCTAAACTCTTTCTTCATTCGAAAGAAGCATCTTTTTCTTTGGGATTTGAATTGTTTAAATACACACATTTTGGCGTGGGTACCCCATCTGCTAAACTAATAACAAAGGGAATCTTTGTGTCTGTGTGTGTGCTATGATTATTGAGTGGGGGAGGGAGTTAGGTGTGTGTGGAGGGGGGGGGGGAGGTTGGAGGGGTTACATGATCTAACCATGTCTCCTATATTGGACAGACAGGCATGGAGATCACTGAACTAATATTGCTCCCTATCTTTCTCTGTATTATCTATATTCTTATATCTCCACAGACCTGGCACCCCTCCTCACGGACCTGGGACCCCAATATTCAGGATGGGGGTCCGGCTTCGCATGGTTGAGGACATGGATCTCATTGAGCTGATGTATCTTGCTCCAAATACAGCTTTAAAGGGAAACTCGGAGGACACAGAGTAAGTATTAGAACACTGTGTATTGTATCAGTACGGTATCCTGTATGTAGAATGTTCATGACATGCTGTGTAATTCCTGTACCATTGGGATCATTACATAGACAGGGCACATGGGGGATGGAGGAACGAGAATTGTTATAGAAAGAGGATACATGTAGGTTTAGGGATTAACAGGGAATTGTAGTGAATTAAGTGGTAAAAGCAAATAGTGTGGTTTCAGGAAAACAACATTCTCCAATTCAGTTATCAGTGGCTAGTGATCCCCTGGCTGTGGTCGCCCCGCATTGCTCTCTATGTTTAATCCCAGGCAGCCAGGAGGCACGAGCCGCACGCGCCGCCAATTATAGACAGAATTCTCATCAGCAGCCGGAGATCGGAGCACGTGACCTGATCTCCCTCCCAGCCAGACATAGAGCGTGAGCTATCCATCCCAGCTAGCCAGCCACACAGCTCTCCCAGCCAGGCACAGAGCGAGCCATCCCAGCTAGCCAGCCACACAGCTCTCCCAGTCAGGCACAGAGCGAGCCATCCCAGCTAGCCAGCCACACAGCTCTCCCAGCAAGGCACAGAGCTATCCATCCCAGCTAGCCAGCCCCACAGCGAGCCATCCCAGCTAGCCAGCCACACAGCGAGCCATCCCAGCTAGCCAGCCACACAGCTCTCCCAGCCAGGCACAGAGCGAGCCATCCCAGCTAGCCAGCCACACAGCTCTCCCAGCCAGCCACACAGCGAGCCATCCCAGCTAGCCAGCCACAGAGCGAGCCAACCCAGCTAGCCAGCCACACAGCTCTCCCAGCCAGGCACAGAGCTATCCATCCCAGCTAGCCAGCCACACAGCGAGCCATCCCAGCTAGCCAGCCACACAGCTCTCCCAGCCAGGCACAGAGCGAGCCATCCCAGCTAGCCAGCCACAGAGCTATCCATCCCAGCTAGCCAGCCACACAGCTCTCCCAGCTAGCCAGCCACAGAGCGAGCCATCCCAGCTAGCCAGCCACACAGCTCTCCCAGCCAGACACAGAGCGAGCCATCCCAGCCACATAGCTATCCATCCCAGCTAGCCAGCCACACAGCTCTCCCAGCCAGGCACAGAGCGAGCTATCCCAGCTAGCCAGCCACACATCTCTCCCAGCCAGGCACAGAGCGAGCCATCCCAGCTAGTCACCCAGCTCTCCCAGTCAGGCACAGAGCGAACCATCCCAGCTAGCCACCCAGCTCTCCCAGCCAGGCACAGAGCCAGCCATCCCAGCTAGCCACACAGCCAGCAACACAGGACTCTTAGCCAAGCAATCCGGAAACTCAGTAAGTGCACACACAGGTAAGTGCTATAATTTTCCATTTACATTGTCAGCTCACCGCAGCCTCTATAGCTGCCCCCACGTCCCACCCTTTCAGTTTACAATTCTGTTCCTGTTGTCAGTCTCTTCCTATGTTTTCACCTGCCATCCCTATTCCATGTCCTCTTTAGCCTCTCTTTGTATCCTGTTCTTAGCTTTCTCCCCTCTCTTACTCCAGATTTGCCACATTTCCTCAGTCTCAGGACCCTACCTCCACCTTTGCTCTCTGTCTCCAGTCTCATATTTTGCATTATGACCTCATCCTTCACCTTTGCACCTGTCCTCATCCTCTACCTTTTCACCATGTCTTTAGTCTCCTCCTTTGCATCCTGTCACCTGCCTCAACCTTTAACCTATGTCTCCAGACACCATATTTATCACCTGGATTTTCTACATCTGTCCCATAACAGCTTTGTCACCTAGCTGCTGTCTCTGTCTTCAGACTCAGTTGGTTATTCTCACATGTCTACACTTTTTTTTTTCTCATCTGGCTACAACATTTCTTTCCTG